AGGCAGTTTCTCTGCTATTAAAATGAATATATTACCAAAGTGACGTTCTTGTTCCTTCTTGTTTTATATGGAATGGAAAGAAACCACGAATAAGATTCAAAATAATACAGGATGAAAAAAAAGAGGCGGCATGGCAGTACTGAATATTATACCGCCAAGCACCTGCATTGGTTTAGATCTCAGATTGGACTTTAAATCCAAATAAGAGGAATACTAAATTGGAAATAGGCGATACAAAAGGAATCCACAATGACTTATGGATCAAGAAGTCATTAAAAACTATTCAAAAACAAGATGGCAGTCATATTTTGAGGGACGGGTTATTAAGAATATGGTTTCAATGTAAAAATAGAACAAGTCCACCCACTTTGCTATTGAAATCTCCAATTAATGTTTATTGCAATGGAAGTACCAGGGGGGACACTGATCTAAACAAGAAGACCTCCCCGCAAAAGATAATGACCATAGGAAAAGCTGTGGAAAATAGACACTAATAAAGACAAAAGCCTATAAACTCTGAGTAAATAATGATACTCTCAGTAAATGCATATAACAATATAATATTGCTCAATATAAAGCACACGTTTACAGGAAAGTTCATAAGGTGCACATTTGGTAAAGTTAAACGAAGATTCTGGATATGAGCTTCGTTTCGACTATCTTCTTCAAAGATGTTTGTGTACCAGCTTAGCAATATTATAGAGTGGTTGGTCTGAAAATTGTGACTTGGTTGCCCATTTGAAAATCATTGTAATCTTTTGAAAACCCAAGAATTGCATTGAACTCTGAAAATTGATTGAAGATATAAAGTCCATTCCAAATATATATGACTAGAAATAAGGCCCGTTGTGGAAATAAATACAACGGAATCTAGAAAGAGGCTCTGGGAGAGTGCTCTGGCTTTGGGCAAACAGTGTCAGTCTGCTTTTAAAACATGAACCTGGGACCTGCACACCACCAGAATACAGCAGGTTCCATATGTAACTGACATTCCAACTGCCTTGCGGGGGGGGAGTTTGAGGTGTGGAATGGAGTGAAGTCCGATCAGCTTCCATATGCAAAAGACCAGGTTGTCGCAGAAGTTGTGGTGTGGGCGGGACCCGGGCTTTGCCCTCTGATTGGTGGCGACATATGCTGAGGAGCAGTGCCATCAGCCATACACTAAGGGAGTGCATTTTAGAATTAGAACCTTGGCACCCACTATTCAATTATATATAAGGAGAGATCCTGTTCGCAAAAGGAGCTAAATGCCTCTGTGTGGGAATGGACTGATTTGTGCCTATAGATACATTATCACCCCATGCTCAAAATGGTGCTCCTAGTTTTAGGCACAATAAGAGCCTTGCTGTTCTCTCTTTCCTTCACTCTTCCCCTTCTTCACTCTCTCCTTCTTTCACAGGTTTGCTTACACGCATAGAATATAAGTGCCAGACTATGCTCTTCGGAGGAGCTGCGGTGGCTCAAGTGGTTAAGACGCTGAACTGCAGGCAGTCCGCTATCTGCAATATGAGAAGGACAACACCTGTTAGGGAAGAACACCAACCTGTAAGGTTGTTAGGACTGCAATAATGTGCAAAGCACTTTGAACACTTGAAGGAACTATAAAAACATTAAGTATTGCACAACGTTTTCCTTAAGTGCTCAGAGCTCTTTAAAGCGATCAAATTTTTCCTTCAAGGAGCTTTAGGGCAACTAACATGGGGGAATTTCAGACAGGCTCTATGTCCCGGTAGGGAACCGATTCTCAACCGGGTTGTGGTCTCTCATTTCAGACAGAACCCGGTTAGGAATCAGTTCCCTACCGGGATCTAAGTGGCATTTCAGACACAGAAGCCTCTCTTCCGTATAGGAACCAGGAGGGAAGCGATTTACCTGTCAACCGCTTCCGAGGAGTCTCCCGTTCTCTCTCCCGGTTCCGATACGCTTCTTTCCCGCCTTTTTTCGCCCGCGCGGGCTTTTTTTTTTTTTAACATTCGGCTTATAGCGATATATCGATATATCGCTATAAGCCGAATGTTAAAAAAAAAAAAAGCCCGCGCGGGCGAAAAAAGGCGGGAAAGAAGCGTATCGGAACCGGGAGAGAGAACGGGAGACTCCTCGGAAGCGGTTGACAGGTAAATCGCTTCCCTCCTGGTTCCTATACGGAAGAGAGGCTTCTGTGTCTGAAATGCCACTGATCCCGGTAGGGAACCGATTCCTAACCGGGTTCTGTCTGAAATGACAGACCACAACCCGGTTGAGAATCGGTTCCCTACCGGGACATAGTGCCTGTCTGAAATTCCCCTATGATTCTGTGACATTGTTGCCAATCTCCAGGTGAGGGCTGGAGACCACTCAAAATTACAATTGCTCTGCAGAAGGGAGGGCGGAAGTCAGCTGAAGTCAAAGGGGCAGATAATGGTAGGTTGATGGTTAGCTGCGAAGGAGATGGGGTTGCCAACTCCAGTCTGGCAAATTCCTGGGGATTTGAGGGGTGGAGCCTGGAGAGGGTGGGGTTTGCGGAGGGGTGGGACATCAGACAGGTAGAATGCCATAGACTCCACCCTCCAAACCAGCCATTTCGTCCTGGGTAACAATTGTTGCCAATTTCCAGGTGAGGGCTACAGATCACTCAAAATTACAACTGCTCTTCAGGGAGCAGAGATCAGTTCCTCTGGAGAAAACAGTGGACTCTGCCATTATACCCTGCTGAGGTCACCACAGCAAAATGACACTGTTTGCCCAAAGCCAGAGCACTCCCCCAGAGCCTCTTTCTAGATCCCGTTGTATTTATTTCCACAACGGGCTTTACTGCTAGTTATATATAAGGAGAGATGAAGAAGAAGAGAAGGAGGATTTTTACTAGCGTCTAATTTCCACAGCTTTTCTTATGGTCACTCATTACGCTTATATCTACGTTTATGTTTAAGTCCATGCAAGATGATCGTCTATGTAAAATTTCAGTAATGTATTGTTTTTGTTTGTTTGTAAAAATAAAAATTATATATCCAAACTACACAACTGATTTCACAATTTCTTATTTTCCCCTCCCAATTCCTTCCTCTAGCAAAACTCTGTATCCCAATTAGTCTTCCATTTTTTATCTTTGATTCTTGTCTAATCTACTTTCCAGCTCTGCTTTTCCTGTTACCTGATGCAATTAAATCTAATTTGTATTAAGGTGTGTGTATACCTTAAAGCTGCACATAAGGACAACTTGATTTTCTGATGACTTAAAACACACACAGACACACACACCATCCTCCATAACAAGAAAAGAAAAAATAAGAGGTGTAGTCACAGCAGCCAAAAACTATAGAGTTATTGGGATATAAACTTTGGCAGACTGGAGCCCCATGGTGGTTGCATCAAGATTTAGATGCCAAAACTATTTTTAAAGGATGAAATCATATCCCTCTACACCTAGGATCATTCCACTAAACTCAATAAGTCTTCTCTTCTTTGCTGGGCTTGAACAAGTAAACAGTTTTCTCATCACAGATTTGGGGATGTGAAATGCACAGCAAACCATCCTTGCAAGCCAGGGGCTTGTGACATTCATAAGCACAGCAATTTTCAACCAAAGATAAAATTCTTAGCCAGGTTCTAACAGCTACAAGTGTCAAAGCACTTTCCTGACTTAAGCCTGAATAAGATTCATGTCATTCTTTCCTCTTCCAATGCACCATTTCTCCTTGTCATGCATTTAACATTTTCTCCTACTGAATTGAGGACCCAAGATAATCTAAGTAACCAAATCAATTCACAATTTATAAAATATGTCAAGCGTTAATTTAAAAAATAATAGGCACTTAAGAGAGTGTTAACACCTACACAAACAACGATTTAAACGGGGAAGGGGGAAGATCTGTGCAAATTTTAAGATAGCGTTTCTGCAGCCCAGTCCTAGCCTAGGGATGTCTACTGAGAAATTAAATCCCACGGATTTATTCTGCCCTACAGGTGCTCAGGGGCCGCGCGGGACTGTAGGCTGTGGAGGCATTCTGCATTACTGCTTGCCCCACGAACTAGAAGTAGCAGGAAAGCCCGAAGAACCAAATTGGCCACCGCCACAACTGCCATCGTCATCCACCTGCAGGAAAGCGGGAGGCTCCTTAAAAGCCCACATCAACCAAAAACAGTCCCGGAGCGATCTCTTTTCCCCAACTAAGGGCCCCGGGCACACGGGCTGGATATCGCGGGGCCGCCCAGCAGTTTGATCCACGATTAGGCAATCAGACGCTCCGGCACAGCACGGGAAGGACCTCAGCGCCAGCGGTAAACAAGGGACTGGAGGGGAATGCCGCGTGCCCGCACGATCACACCACCGCGATCTCTTTTCCCCAACTAAGGGCCCCGGGCACACGGGCTGGATATCGCGGGGCCGCCCAGCAGTTTGATCCACGATTAGGCAATCAGACGCTCCGGCACAGCACGGGAAGGACCTCAGCGCCAGCGGTAAACAAGGGACTGGAGGGGAATGCTGCGTGCCCGCACGATCGCACCACCGGCGTCTGGAGGCAGCCCGTGGCAAACGTTTACTAGTACCTTGGAGGTACTAGTTTTTAAAAGCGCACTGTCGTTGGGTCTCTGTGCCTCTCCCGGCAACTTTGCCTGTGACCGGGCCCTAGTCTCTTGCAAAAGAGGGAAGCGTCTGAGGCTGCAGTGCAGACTACAGCTTCGAAAGCGCGAGGTCGCTTGCTTTTTAGACGCACTTAAGAAGACTGCAGTCGAATGAGCGTGGTGCGCTGGCATTTAGCATTCCTTCCCCCCTTAAATGCCTGCAAATCTCTCTTTCCAGTGCAAACCACATCCTGTTGCTCACAAGAGGCGAGTCCCGTGAAAGTCCAGATGGGGCTTCCTCCCGAACGCTGCCAAAGTTTGGGCGCTTCCATCCGAGAAGCCCCTCGCAGCCGCCTTCTCCCCCTCCCCAGCAAAAGTCCTCCTCTCCTCCCCTCCCGTCCCCCAGGCCGGGCCAGCCAGCCCTGCCTTGCGAGCCCCCCTCTCCTCCTCCTCCTCACCGATGCCCTGCACGAACACGAAGCCCGTGATCATGAGGACCGGGTGCCAGTTGAACTCGGCCGCCCTTCCATCCCACGCCAGCCCTTCCCGGTAGTGGAGGACCCAGACCAGGACGAAGATGACGGAGAGGAAGCCGAGCAGCAGTGCCGACACCAGCAGCGCCAGGAAGAGCCAGTAGCCCTCCATTTCTCTCGCAGTCCCGGGCGGGAGTCACGAGGCGGCCTCCTCCCAAAACAAACTCTTTCGGGACGCGGGGAAAGAAGAGGCGGGCGGAGCGAGTCGCCCAGAAGCTCCGGTCCTCCCCTCCTAGTGGAGGGACCGTGAGCAGCAGCAGCAGCGGCCCTCTCAGTCGCCGCCTGTGAGAGGGAACTCGGGGAGGGAGACGCCGCCCGCCGGGCATTCCACCGTCGCCCTCCCGCCTTTTTTCTCTGACGGAATCCCCCGCGGATTCCTCACACCCTGGGAGGGAAGGAGGCCGGCTGGAGTCGCCTGTAGTGGAATCCCCCGAACCACGGTGCTGTCTGTTCTCATACTGACACATATTGATCCACGATTAGGCAATCAGACGCTCCGGCACAGCGAATCACCTCTAGCCGGCACAACTTCTGAATTTTCTTGTAAGGCGATGGACAGGGTCCTAACTAGAACTGGACACAGCCCATCAGGACAGGATCCAGTTGTTTAAAAGGCTGAAAAGGGTGGAATGGCAACCCAGTTCAATAATGGTTAGCATCTTTGTAATAAACCTAGAACATTTTTCTTTTCTTTTCTTTTTTTGAAACCCCGGAGGGGAATTTTTATTATTTTTTGAATGAGACCACAAAACTACAAAGAAAAATATAGGGAGGTGTTAGATCGCTGCTAACAAAGATCCGGAGAGTGATTTCAGTAAAGTGATTCAGCTTTATTGAAGTAAGGAACAAGCACTTAAACGCATTCATATCCAGAACAACTTAACATTGGGAGCTAGGCTCCTTTTAAACATTCCCGGGCTAACATAGCCACGCCTATTTACAATTAACAACCAATGAGGTTGTGCGGATAAGGACCAATGAGAGTTCTTCCCGCTTGGGGAATTGGTAGAGTCCTGATTGGCCTCTGTTGTGAAGCGACCAATAGCAAGTTCGCTCTGAGGAGCCTTCCATCGGCTCAAGCTTAACATGGGGAGTTAATGGAACAATTCATGTAGCTGTTTCCAATACACTACAGGAGGGGAACTACATCTATGGATAAAGGAAAGATACCCACACTAACTAAAAACCCAAGAGTGGGAGATCACATCCGTGGTAAATTAAATATTAGTATTCAAAGTGTTAGTAAAACAATATACTTGTAGAGTTCTTGTTTTTTTTTCAGCTTCTGTATTAGTAAGTTAGTTATTATGAGAGAACTTTCTGAGCATCTTCTTTACTTCAAAGGGCCATTTATCAGAGTCCTTCTGCCCTTACTTTGGCTTTCTATCTCTAAAGTCATATATAGCTTTCATTGCTCCCGCACCCGTTTCTGCTGCAGAGTCCTCATCCGTTCCAGAGGCAGCTGAGTCACTTGACTCAGTTTCTTCATCTTTAGATTCTTCCCCCATCCCAGCTGACGTCTCAGGAATTCTTTGGCTTTGAAGATGGAGTCTATCTTCTCCCTTTTATCAGTTCCAGAGGCAGCTGAGTCACTTGACTTAGTTTCTTCATCTTTAGATTCTTCCCCCATCCCAGCTGACGTCTCAGGAATTCTTTGGCTTTGAAGATGGAGTCTATCTTCTCCCTTTTATCATTGATTTTAAAGATGACACCTTCGGGGATCGCCCACTGGTACTGAATTCCATTTGTTTGAAGAAAAGAGGTTAAATCCTTATAGTTCTTTTTCTTTTGACGAATTTCAAATGGAATGTCTTTTAAGGTCTTGATGATTGTATTCCCGAATTTCAGTGGAGTTGCTGAAGTTGCCTTTAATATGGCATCTCTGGTGTGTCTTCTTGCAAATCTGACCACAATCTCTCCAGGCAGGCTATTTTTTTTATGTAATTGGAGTA